TTTTTGCCTGCTCTTTCATTGCTTCTTGCTGCTAGTATGAACAATTGCTCCCATACCCCATTCCCCTGTGTGTGCTGAGTTAAGGTATGGCCTGGCAGCATCCCAATTGCTGTCCAGGGCTGAACCTGACCTTCAATGAGGTCTTAACTCCCCAATTCTAAGGCTGACAGGCTGGTCGGGGTGTGCCAGCATCCCAATTGCTGGGCATGACCACCAGCCTGCCATGGCCCCCCTCCCTAATTCCCTTCAATTGCACTTACACTCACTCCTAGTCTCTAAGTTCTGCCCCCATCCTATGAGCCTTGCCTTGGGATCTTGAGTTCCCTCTGAACTTGGACATTTGAGGGTTGGCCCTTCCACACTGCACTATAATCTGATTTCTGCAATGATATTTGGGGTGTAAGCATTGCCTGGAACTCTTGAAGTTCCTTGGAACTTTGACACATCCCAAATAAGAGAAGGCTTTGAAAAATCCGATCCTGGAAGTTGGTTTATCTCATATTATTAGACTCTGAGTCTGGATTAGGCTGATTAGATGTAGATGTAATCACTGATAATTTTTATTCTTTCCTCTGATCCATTTGGTCAGTAATAATTTTTGTAATAACTACTGGGGGTGTATAGTGAAAGGGATGGGATTGAATGCATGCAAAGGGGTAGATACCATGTTTTAGGATATTTACTTTCAAAAATTCAGCATCTCATGTAGATACCATGTTTTAGGGATATTTACTTCAAAATTTAGTATCTCATGTAGATACCATATTTTAGGGTATTTACTTTCAAAATTCAACATCTCATATAGATGGTATGTTTGTAGAACTTACTACTTTCAAGCCTCTGCATCTCACATAGATACCATGCTCATAGCTTTTCTGCATTTCGTATAAATACCATGCCCATAAATCGTTGCTGAAATTCTGCATATCATATAGATAATATGCCTATAGGACTTCCTGCATTTCGCATATGCATCTGTCACTAGGCAAATCTGCTTATAGGATTTAAAATAACCAATTGCATATAGATGACCTGCCCATAGGATCTCTGCATGACAATAACAGCGATAAAATCAGTAACGCCTAGAGAGCATGCCTATAGGAGCTATCAACTAAATCTGAATCGCCCACCCGCTCCTATGTTTAAAATCAGTGGTAATTTGTTTAAACACTCGCAGAGCTTACAACCAACAATTCTTTTTTTTGCAATCAGTTTATTCCTCTGTCCCTGAATTAATAGATATCATGCCTATAGGTCCCGTTTAACACATAGGCAAAAGGTTAAGTAATTAACCAACTATGTCAGATTTCGACAACTACATCTAAGCAGGACTAATTTGGACTCCCTATCTGGGAAATATGTGGTAAATCAACCTATCCTACGCTTTAATTTAATTCAGACCAAATCAAGTATGTGTAAGACATGCTAAAACATTTGTTTCTTAAAATGAGGAGGCCTGTTTGAGCCCTTAATTGCTACTTGTTCCCCTTTTATTGCATTATGTGTTTTGACTGTCGCCCTAGATTTTTATCCTTTTAAACTCTGAAAAGCCAAGCTCCCTCCCCTTTAGGATTAGTAGTCCCAAATGCCTCCGGGACTGATAGGTGGGACGGGTAATAGCATGCAGTAGGTAACGATACCATTCCGCGCTTAACACCTTAACGGGGTGGGAAGGGTAGACATGGAGATGATGATCACGCGATAACACCATACGTACGATTGGCTACCAGTGTTGTGTGGATGATCCATGTGTTTTACAAACCTAGGACCCTTTTCCTTTATATAAATTTGTTATTATCAATAAAACTCTATATCTCATTTCAGTCACCAAATTCTTCCTCAACTTCCTGCACTATTCTTTTAAAATTTATGTTCACTCACTTCTTTATTTAATTTTTTGCACTTGGACATTCCTTTAAACAAGTTGTGAGACCACCTAGATCTTAATGTCAAACATGCTTGTCTACCATTATACATACCTACTTGCAATATTTATGTGGAATTATTTGTATGCTCGTTTGTATTTAAAGTCACAACATGGCATGGCCGGGAACCATACTAGTGGATCTTGAGGGGTGCCTAACACCTTCCCCTCGAGATAATTTCTAGCCCTTACCCGAACTCTGGTTTTCCAACTCAAAACTCGTGGTGTCCTAATGCACTTAATCATTAAGTGGCGACTCTTCAAATCCAAAAACCCAATTCCCAAACGGGAATAGAGTTGTCTTCCCAAATGTCGTAAACCCGATTTCGCGACTCTGCTGGGGATTCTTTAGGCTTTTACCACTTCATGTTATATGTGACTTTATTGTTTTCTTTTATTGCTTTGTTTAATGTCTTTATTCGAAACTGACTTGGCTTTTTTTTGTTTCTTTTTCTTTCTTTAACGCTTCATTTACTGTTTTCCTTCAATACCGTTGCAATTTTTAGCAATTATTGTAATCATTATGAACGTGAAAATACGTGACAATTTGTTTTATTTTTTGTAATTGCATCTTCAACATCATACTCCACTCGTGCCAAACAAATACCATAGCAACGCTTATAATGAGTTGTTGCGCTCTTCCGATATTATTACCCCCTAAATTTGGAAAAGGCATATTTGCAGTAAAACCAGTCGATCAGCGGTGCAGTCAACGGTTCCGTGCCTTTCCCTCTTGAGTTGTCCGCTCAAGGGTACCGGTCTAATACCCCATAGAAACCTTATTCTATTTAACTATGCATGCATCACTGTCAAACCTATCCGAGTTAGTTATGCAGTCCACATAATGACTCTTTAAGATAGCCTTGGCCAAAGTCCACTGGGTTTCCTTGAAACCCAAACGGATGCCACCATATTCTATGCATTTATTTGGAGAACTAAATGCTGTTTATGCTAATTATTGGTTTAAATAGTCGAGTCCGGTGGGGGTATGGTCTTAACCCTTTTATTTTGCAGAAAATGGAGAACAAAGTTCCCGACTTCGGTATGGTCAACATACCCTCAGTCTTGCTGACCTGGTGGAGGAACCTCCCATCAAGTAACCAAATCAATGAATGGAAGAGAGAGTCACCAGGGCTAGTGAGAAGCTGGAATATATGGAATACAGTCTGCTGGAGTTGGAAGGGAAAGTGAGAAAAAGAGTTACCGACTGTCAAAATGCTGAGGAAGGCAAAGGAGAACGCCTGGCAAAGGCATTTTTATTGGTGAACCTACGCGAGCTGGAGGATTTGATCAACGAGAACATTCAACCTGAGGAGGGTCCTTCAGGGACCAAGTAGTTAGGAGTCTTTACTTTTGCTTTAAAATGTAATAAGGCCAATGGCCATTAGTGACATTTTACTTTCTGCAATTTTAGTGTCGTTTTGGGATTCGTCTTATTTTTATCAATAAAATGAGGCATTTAGCACTATAAATTCTCCAAATCAACTTGTCGCTAGGCCTACCTCTGGCACAACGAGGCTCCCAAATTAGGACACGATTTATATTCTCACACTATGTATTTAAATATTGCAATATTTTATTCTCAGAATCCGTACTAACTTATTACCTTTTTTGTTTTTACTTTTGTTTTATTCCCCCCTCCCCAAAAGGTTAGTTCGTGCACTCTGGCATGATCATCTTAGGCAGAAGGGCGCCTCAACAATTGGTCCGTCAGAACTACCAAGGCAAGGAAAGCTTCGGGGTAGCAAGGCTGAACAAAGCATTATGCGTTATCTTTTACTTTTTCGCTAGTTGATTTCCTTTTCGTATTATCTTTAAATTTTGAAAAAAGCTCCGATGTTCAAAATAATTTTGGAATTTATCAAAGTATTTCAGTATCTTATAAATCTCGCTCTTATTATTTTCTCTATCATTTACTTTATTTTGCATAGCATTACTGTAACGACCCGGCCGGTCGTTTTTGGAATTTACGCCCCGATCCCCCATTTACCGCTTCCCCTTAGTCCCTAAATGAGAGCTTAAGTGTTGAAAGATGGTCCGTAATCGGAACAGTGTGAAGACGACCTCGGAATGGAAATCCGATGGTTCCGTTAGCTCCGTTAGGTGATTTCGGGGTTGGGAGCGTGTTCGGAATGCATTTTGGAAGCTCGTAGCAAATTTAGGCTTGGAATGCCGAAGTTTGAATATTTTAAATTTCCGGTCCGATAGTGAATTTTTGATCCGAGGGTCGGAATGGAATTCCAAAAGTTTCTGTAGCACCGTCATGTCATTTGGGACGTGCGTGCAAAATTTCAGGTCAATCGGACGAGGTGTGGTTAGGTTTTTGATCGAAAGTGTGTTTCGTTGGAATTTGAAGTTCTTAGGCTTGAATCTTTGATTAATTCGTGTTTCTGGCGTTGTTTTAGGTGGTTTAAGGATTAGTACAAGTTTGAATGATGTTATGGGGTATGTCAGTAGGTTTGGTTGAGGTCCCGGGGGCCTCGGGTGCGTTTCGGATGCTCATCCGAGCAATTTGAAGTTTGGAAATGTTGCAGAAAGTTGCAGGTCTGAATTCCTTCTTCGCGTTCGCGAAGAAGGCACCGCGTTCGCGTTGTAGTAGCCTATCCTCTCATCGCGTTTGCGGCCACTCTCCCGCGTTCGCGTAGTGTAAGTCTGGAGAGGGGGGCTCGTTCCTCCTCGCGTTCGCATAAGATCACCCGCGTCCGCGTAGCTTCACTATTTCCTCCATCGCGTTCGCGTAAGCCTTGTCGCGTTCGCGTAGTTCTTGATCCCCTGGCCTTCGCGTTCGCGCTCCTCCCTTCGCGATCGCGAAGGGCATTTTTGGGCCCTGATATTTTCCTTCTTCGCGAACGCGTGCTTCCTATCGCGTTCGCGATGCTTTAGACTCCTGAACAGTACTTAACATTTCAAAAACGAGGTTTTGCCATTTTTATCAAAACTCAAGGTTTGGAGCTCGGATTTGGGAGCCTGGTTCGGTGTGGCTGCTCCCTGTGTTTTCCCCCCTCGCCCCTTTTTCCTTTCTCTCCCTTTGTTCTTCTCCCTCCCCCCTCTCTCTCTCCTTCCGTCCCCACACACCTCATTCCTCCCCTTTCCTGCCCTCTTCTTTCCCCTTCTGTTCCCCTCCCTGTCTTCTTCCTTTTTTGCCCTTGGCCCTTCCTTTCCCCCGTTGTGCGCCCCCCTCGCTCTTCCTGTCCCCTGCTTGTCTCCCCTTCTCCCTCCTCCTTGCCCTCTTCTGTGGCCCTTCTTTGTCGCTCGTTTGGTCCTTTCCCGTCCCCCCTGCCTGGCTGGCCCCCTCCTCGTGGCCTTGCGGGGTGCCTCCGCCCCTCCCCTCGCGCTCCTTCTCGCCCTTCCCCGCCCTCTGGTTTCCTCCTCCCCCTCGTGGTGTCCCTCCTGCCTTCCTCCTTCCGTGGCGCCTCTTCCCTCCCACCCCCTTCCCCCCCGGGCCTCCGTTGTCTTTCCCCCTGTCGTCCCGCACCGCTTTCTGCGCCTCTGCTGGGCTTCCTTTCGGCTTTTTCCCACTTCCTGTTCTCTGTGCCTTTCTTGTTTTTCTTTTCCCCCCACCCCCTTTGCCTTGTTTTCCTGTCTTCTTCGCCCCTGCCTTGGCTTTTTTTTTGTTTCTTTTTCTTTCTTTCCCGCTTTCCTTTTTCCTGTTTTCCTCTCCCTCCCGTTGCCCTTTTTCGCCCTCCTTGTCCTCCTCGCCTCGTGCCCTCCGTGCCCCTTCCTTTGTTTTCTTTTTTGTCCTTGCCTTCCCCTCCTCATCCCCCTCGTGCCCCCCACTCCCCTCGCCCCGCTTCTCCCTGCGTGTTGCGCTCTTTTTCCGCTCTCTTCCCCCCCTTGGCCCCGGCCTCTTTGGCCGTCCCCCCGCGTCGGCTCCGCGGCTGCGTCCCGGTTCCGTGCTTCCTCTGCGTTTGTCCGCTACCGGGCCGCGGTCTCTCTCCCTCGCCCTTCTTCTCTTTCCCTCTGCCTGCCCTCCCTAAGTCCCCCTCCTCCGCGTTCGTTTCTGCCGTCCCCTCCTGCCTCTTTCCGCTCGCCTTGGCCCCCGTCCCCTGGGTTTCCTTGCCCCTCCCCCGGCTGCCCCCCCCTCTTCCTCTGCCTTGTCTTTTGGCGCCCTCACCTGCTGTTTCTGCTCCTTCTTGGTTTACCTCGTCGCGTCCGGTGGGGGTCTGGTCTTCCCCCTTTCTTTTGCCAGCCCCTGGCCCCCCCGTTTCCGCCTTCGGTCCTGGTCCCCTCCCCTCCTCTTGCTGCCATTGGTGGCGGCCTCCCCTCCCGTCCCCCCCTTCCCTGCCTGGCCGCGCCGTCCCCCGGGCTCGTGCGCCGCTGGCCTCTCTGGCCCCGTCTGCTGGCGTTCGGCCGGCCCTGTGCGCCCCCGCGTTCCCTGCCTGTCCCCTCTGCGGCCGGCCCCGGCGCCCGCCTGGCCCCGGCCTTTTTCCTTGGTGCCCCTCCGCGCGCTGGCGGCTTTGCTCCCCCCGCGCCCCTTCCCTGCGGCGGTCCTTCCGGGCCCCCGTGTTCCGTCTTTCCTTTTGCTTTCCTGTTCCTCCGGCCCTGGCCCTCTCGTGCCCTTTTCCTTTCTGCCCTTTTCGTGTCGTTTTGGGCTCGTTCTTCTTTTTCTCCCTCCCTGCGCCCTTTCGCCCTCTCCCTCCTCCCCCTCCCTTTGTCGCTCGGCCTCCCTCTGGCCCCCGCGGGCTCCCCATTCGCCCCCTTTCTCTTCTCCGCCCTCTGTCTTCCCTCTTGCCCTCTTTTCTTCTCCGCCTCAGTCCTCCTTCTTCCCTTTTTTGTTTTCCTTTTGTTTTCTTCCCCCTCCCCCCCCGGTTCGTTCGTGCCCTCTGGCCTGCTTCCCCTCGGCCGCCGGGCGCCTCCCCCTTGGTCCGTCCGCCCCCCCGCCCGGCCCGCTTCGGGTCGCCCGGCGCCCCGCCTTCTGCGTTCTCTTTTCCTTTTTCGCTCGTTTTGCTTCTTTTCGTCTTTCTTTCACTTTTGGCCCCCCGCTCCGCTGCTTCCCCCTCCTTTTGCCTTTCTCCCCGTCTTTCCGTCTTTCTCCTCTCGCTCTTCTTCTATTTCTCTCTTCCTTTCCTTTTCTTTGCCTCGCCTCCCTGTCCCGCCCCGGCCGGTACGTTTTTTGGCCTTTCCGCGCCCGCCCCCCTTTCCCAGCTTCCCCTTCGTCCTCCTGCAGCCCGCTTCCGTGTTTGCCCGCTGGTCCGTCCTGCGGCACCGTGTGCAGCCGCCCTCGGCCTGGCCCTCCGCTGGTTCCGTTCGATCCGTTCGGTGCTTTCGGGGTGTGGGCGAGTGTTGTCCTGCCTTTTGGCCGCTTCGTCGCCCCTTTCGGCTTGGCCTGCGCCGTTTGCCTCTTTTCCCTTTTTCCGGTCCGCTCGTGCCTTTTTGCTCCGCGGAGTCGGCACTTGGCATTCCCCGTTTCTGTCGCCCCGTCCTGTCCTTTGGCCGTGCGTGCCCCCTTTCCTCCCTCGCCGACGGTGTGGTACGGTTTTTGCTACGACCGTGTTTTCGTTGGCCTTTGGCCAGTTCTTCGGCTTGCCTTTGCTTCCTTCGTGTTTCTGGCGTTGTTACTTCGGTGGTTTCCGGCTCGTACCCCGTTTTGCCTTGCTGTTCTGGGGTCTGTCCGTCGTTTGTTGCGGTCCCGGGGGCCTCGGTGCGTTTTCCGGCTGCTCCTCCCGCGCCCTTTGCACGTTTGGCCCTGTTGCCGCCCGTTGCCGGTCTCCTTCCTTCTTCGCGTTCGGCCGCCGCCGGCCCGCGTTCGCGTTGTCGTCGCTCTCCTCTCCTCCGCTGTCGCGCCCTCTCCCCGCGTCCGCCAGTCGCTTCCTCCTTTTCCTCACTCGCGTCGCGTCCGCCTTGTCGCTCGCGTACGTTCTGCTCCCCTGGCCTTCGCAGTTCGCGCTCCTCCCTCGCGCTCGCGCCGGGCCTTTTTGGGCCCTGCTATTTTCCTTTCTTCGCTGCACCGCGTGCTCCTCTCCGCGTTCGCGCTGCTGTTCGCCTCCTGCCCCGTCCTTCCCCTTTCCCCCGCGGTTTTGCCCTTTTTCTCCCCCTCCCGGTTTGGCGCTCCGGCTTTGGGCGCCCTTTCCCGGGTTTTTCCCGGCCCTCCTCCGGGGTCACGCGTTCTCTCCTCTCCCTCTGCCTCCCCCCTTACTCTCCTCGCCCTTCCCCCCTTTCCCCTTCGTGTTTTGCCTGGACCGTGGTCCCTTATCGCCCTCCCTCTGGGTTTTGCGGGTCCTTTGCCCTCCGCTTTGGGCGCCTTTTTACTCTGTTCGCACCCTCGTGCGAGTCCCGGGTTCTGCCCCCGTCCCCTTCTTGCGCTTCTGCGCCCGCTGCTGGCTGGGCCTTTTGGTCCTTTCCCCTCTTTTCTGCGCCCTCTGCTCTCCCTTTCCTCGTGGCCTCCTGTTGTTTGCCCTCTTCCTTTCCGCTCTGTCATTGCCTGCCTCGCTTGGGCCCTTTGTAGTCGGCTCCGCGTGCCCCGGCCGTGTTCTCTTGCTCTTGAGTCCGGTTTCGCGGTCCGTGGCTTGGTTCCCCTTGTGTGGGGGCTCCTTTCCCTTCGTCTTTGTTTCTTTGTTTTGCTTGCGTGCCTTGTCCGCGCGTGCCGGCGTGTACCTTGCCCCCTTGTTGGCCCCCCACCGCTTTTCTCCGCTCTGGAGCTTGCGTTCCCTTCCCTCTTTGGCTTCTTCTCCTTGCCCTTCTCCCTTGTGCTCGCTTCGGCCCGCCTGTTTCGTTGCTTCCCTTGCCTCCTGGCTTCCGTTGCCTTCCCTGTCCCTCCGTGCCGCACTGCTCGGTCCGTCTCTCTGTTGCTTGTCTTTGTCCTTCGTTCCGTGGTCCCTTCTGGTGTGCTTGCCCTTTCCTGGGCCTCCGGCTGTGGGGCTTCCGTCGCTCCCCTCTTGTTTGTTTACTTGGGCCTCCGGGTCTCGCTTCCCGGTCGCCTGCCCTTTTCCTTTGGGCTTGGGGTTCGCTTCCCGCTCGCGCCCTGCCACCCTTGCCCGTTGGCCTCCGGGCCGGGTCTCGTGGCGCTCCTCCTCTGTTCCCCTGGGCGTTGCCTTGTCCTTCTTCTGTGGTTGTTTCCGTTCTTGTGTCTTTTGCTCCTTGCTTGTTCCTCTGTCTTCTTTCACTGCTGTCTTTCTTCTTTTCTGTCCGCTTTTCTCCTGTTCCTTCTTGTTCTTCATCTCTTTTTCTCTCCGTATGGCCCCTGCCACTTTCCTCCGTCCCCTCCCCGGCGGTTCGCTTGGCCCTTCCTGCGTCCCCTGTGGTGTCCTCCTGCCCTTCTGCAGCCTGTGTTTTTTTTCCTGGTTGGCCGCTCCTCCCGGTCCCTTCTCCTCAGTGCGCCCTCGTCCGTGCGGCCGGCGGCCTCCCGCCGCCTGTCGACGGTCCTCTGCTGCGATCCGCCGCCCGCGCCGGCGTCTACCTCTTCTTCTATCTTTCGTCCTTCGTTTTTCCTTCTTTCGGTGTTCGCCCTTCTGGCGTTTGGCCCCTTCCTCCTCCCTTTTGTCGCCTGTGTTGCCGGTGCGTTTCCGGGTTTTGGGCCTTCTCTCTCTCCCCCCCCACCGGCGGCGCGGCCACGCGCGCGCTACTTCCCCCCCGCCCCTCCCCGGCCCCCGGCTCCCCGTGTCTCTACCAGGTTCCCCTCCGCCTTTAAAATCCCCCCGCCCGCCGCCACCCTCCGTCCTTCCCGCTCGCCTCCGCGGGCGCCTCGTCGGTCTGCGGCCGCCGCCGCTCTACCTCGCCGTCTCTGTCGTCCTCCTGCCTCCCGCTCGGGCGCCTGCGTCGCGGTCCCTGGCTGCTCTGCACTGCCGCAACCCCCCACCCCCGCCCCCCCACCCCCCACATGCGCCGGCAGGGCCTGCTCCCCCCCGCGGTACCCCGCTCAGTGCCAGCCTCCCCTCGGTTGGCTTTGCCGCGGACGGTCCGGGCCCTCCGCGCTCCCCTCCTCGTCACTCCACCTCCTTCCCCGTCTCGCTCCTCTGCCCGCCCTCCTCCCTCCCCTTGATTGCCGGGGGTTGGTGCGGTGGCGCGGGTGGTGCTGCCCCTCCGCCCGCTTCCCCCCCTCGCCACCCCCCCGCCGGCCCTCCCCTCCCCGCATACGTCCCATTCCCCGCCCCTGGTCACCCTGCGGCTCTCCCCGGCTACCGTCCGTACGTCCCCCTGTCCCTGTGCCGGGGCTCTCTCGGACTCTCCCCCGCCAGTCCCCCCGTCCAGGCCGGGGGCTCCTCCCGGCCTCGTCACCCGTAGTCCCAAAGTCCCCCGCGGGGAGTCCCGGCCTCCCCCTCCGTCGTCCCACTGTACACTGCCCATCCCCACCCGCCGGTCCCCGGCCACCGCCGTACCCCCGCCCACGCCCCCGCTCGTCCTGACCCTCGCCTGCTTCCCGTCGTCCCCGTTCCGGCCCCTTCCGCCCTTCGGCCAGTTTCCCTCACTCCCCCTGCTTCCTCTCTCGCCCCCGTTCTCCTTCCGTCGCACTACCGCCAACTATGGCAGGCACCTCCCTCCCCATCTCTTCACGCCCTCGGGTTTTCCACACAATTGCTCCAGTCCGCCCGTCCCACTGTCGCGGTACATCACTCACCCATCCACTAACAATCAGGGGAAAGGTCCCCCCACACAGGTTGACAAGCCCACTCCTCGCCCCGGCTCTTCTAGCCACGCCTTTGCCACGGTACTCCTCCAAATGGCCCAAATCTATTCTTCAATTACATACGTTATATTGCAAACAACTGATTCCCTATTAATTTAGAGCTAGGGCCGAAAATAGGTAAAATGACCAAAATGCCCTCCAGCCATCGTCTCAGAATCGAATAATTTTTACGTTTTCAGAACCTCGTACTCTCACGAGTCTAACCATATAAAAATCTCCCAAATCGGAGGTCAAATGACCTCAAAACCCCATAGTTAGGTCTAAGAAGTTTACCCACTCCATTCAAAAACGACGAAATTAAAGGGTGAATTTGCGATTAGATTAATGGTTTTAGTCATAGGAGAGTAGAGAATCGTTACCGGTGATTGCCCTTGAAAAAACCTGAAATTG